TTGTGTTTATTAAACATTTTATTATGAGATTTTTTGTTAAAGGAAAATATTGCAGAAAACTTTAATTTTAGGGGATTTGTAAGGCCGAGGATTATTGTGTTGACTTTAGCCTATAGTCTAGTGCATATTCTAGTATATAGTATAGTCTATAATGTAGTCTAGAGCCTTACGTTTAGTCTAGTCTGCAGTCTATACTCCAGTCCAGTATATAGCAAAGTCTATAGTCTAGTCCATTGACTACACTATGGGCTAACCTATAGACTATGCCATAGGCTGGACAATATTCTAGACTAAAGACTAGACTATAGACTACACTATAGACTACACTATAGACTAGACTATAGACTAAACTATAGACTACACTATAGACTAGACTATTGACTAGACTATAGACTAAACTATAGACTAGACTATAGACTACACTATAGACTAGACTATAGACTACACTATAGACTAGACTATAGACTACACTATAGAATAAACTACAGACTAGACTATAGACTAGACTATAGACTAGACTATAGACTAGACTATAGACTAGACTATAGACTAGACTATAGCCTAAACTATAGACTAGACTATAGACTACACTATAGACTAGACTACAGACTAAAGTATAGACTAGACTATAGACTAGACTATAGACTACACTATAGACTAGACTACAGACTAAAGTATAGACTAGACTACAGACTAGACTAATAGACTAGACTATAGACTAGACTATAGACTAGACTATAGACTAGACTATAGACTAGACTATAGACTAGACTATAGACTAGACTATAGACTAGACTATAGACTAGACTAGACTATAGACTAGACTATAGACTAGACTATAGACTAGACTATAGACTAGACTATAGACTAGACTATAGACTAGACTATAGACTAGACTATAGACTAGACTATAGACTAGACTATAGACTAGACTATAGACTAGACTATAGACTAGACTATAGACTAGACTATAGACTAGACTAAAGACTAGACTATAGACTAGACTATAGACTAGACTATAGACTAGACTATAGACTAGACTAGACTATAGACTAGACTATAGACTAGACTATAGACTAGACTATAGACTAGACTATAGACTAGACTATAGACTAGACTATAGACTAGACTATAGACTAGACTATAGACTAGACTATAGACTAGACTATAGACTAGACTATAGACTAGACTATAGACTAGACTATAGACTAGACTATAGACTAGACTATAGACTAGACTATAGACTAGACTATAGACTAGACTATAGACTAGACTATAGACTAGACTATAGACTAGACTATAGACTAGACTATAGACTAGACTATAGACTAGACTATAGACTAGACTATAGACTAGACTATAGACTAGACTATAGACTAGACTATAGACTAGACTATAGACTAGACTATAGACTAGACTATAGACTAGACTATAGACTAGACTATAGACTAGACTATAGACTAGACTATAGACTAGACTATAGACTAGACTATAGACTAGACTATAGACTAGAATATAGACTAGACTATAGACTAGAATATAGACTAGACTATAGACTAGACTATAGACTAGACTATAGACTAGACTATAGACTAGACTATAGACTAGACTATAGACTAGACTATAGACTATATATAGACTAGACTATATATAGACTAGACTATAGACTAGACTATATAGACTAGACTATAGACTAGACTATATATAGACTAGACTATAGACTAGACTATAGACTAGACTATAGACTAGAATATAGACTAGACTATAGACTAAAATATAGACTAGACTATAGACTAGACTATAGACTAGACTATAGACTAGACTATAGACTAGACTATAGACTAGACTATAGACTAGACTATAGACTAGACTATAGACTAGACTATAGACTAGACTATAGACTAGACTATAGACTAGACTATAGACTAGACTATAGACTAGACTATAGACTAGACTATAGACTAGACTATAGACTAGACTATAGACTAGACTATAGACTAGACTATAGACTAGACTATAGACTAGACTATAGACTAGACTATAGACTAGACTATAGACTAGACTATAGACTAGACTATAGACTAGACTATAGACTAGACTATAGACTAGACTATAGACTAGACTATAGACTAGACTATAGACTAGACTATAGACTAGACTATAGACTAGACTATAGACTAGACTATAGACTAGACTATAGACTAGACTATAGGCTAGACTATAGACTAGACTATAGACTAGACTATAGACTAGACTATAGACTAGACTATAGACTAGACTATAGACTAGACTATAGACTAGACTATAGACTAGACTATAGACTAGACTATAGACTAGACTATAGACTAGACTATAGACTAGACTATAGACTAGACTATAGACTAGACTATAGACTAGACTATAGACTAGACTATAGACTAGACTATAGACTAGACTATAGACTAGACTATAGACTAGACTACAGACTAGACTATAGACTAGACTATAGACTAGACTATAGACTAGACTATAGACTAGACTATAGACTAGACTATAGACTAGACTATAGACTAGACTATAGACTAGACTATAGACTAGACTATAGACTAGACTATAGACTAGACTATAGACTAGACTATAGACTAGACTATAGACTAGACTATAGACTAGACTATAGACTAGACTATAGACTAGACTATAGACTAGACTATAGACTAGACTATAGACTAGACTATAGACTAGACTATAGACTAGACTATAGACTAGACTATAGACTAGACTATAGACTAGACTATAGACTAGACTATAGACTAGACTATAGACTAGACTATAGACTAGACTATAGACTAGACTATAGACTAGACTATAGACTAGACTATAGACTAGACTTTAGACTAGACTATAGACTAGACTATAGACTAGACTATAGACTAGACTATAGACTAGACTATAGACTAGACTATAGACTAGACTATAGACTAGACTATAGACTAGACTATAGACTAGACTATAGACTAGACTATAGACTAGACTATAGACTAGACTATAGACTAGAATATAGACTAGACTATAGACTAGAATATAGACTAGACTATAGACTAGACTATAGACTAGACTATAGACTAGACTATAGACTATATATAGACTAGACTATATATAGACTAGACTATAGACTAGACTATAGACTAGAATATAGACTAGACTATAGACTAGAATATAGACTAGACTATAGACTAGACTATAGACTAGACTATAGACTAGACTAGACTAGACTATAAACTAGACTGTAGACTAGACTATAGACTAGACTATAGACTAGACTATAGACTAGACTATAGACTAGACTATAGACAAAAGCAAATTTATTAGAATCTTTTCTAAATTTAAAATTTCAAGACAAGAAAGTAAATTAACAACTGCTGAGGCGAAAAAGTACTACTGGAGTTGGGAGTTGAAGTTTTATTATTTAGTTGCCACCTGTCAAAATATTTAAAATTTTGTTTATTTTTAATAAAAAATTTTCTCACACTTTATTAGTTCTTCTCCTAACTGTCAAACAGTGCAAAACTGTGAATAGCCTTAATGTATTTTCTTCTTTATGTTTATAAATTTTTCATTCATAATTATCAAGTTATTAACCTAAACATTTCATAAAAACGTGTTTTACATATTTAATGAATCCAAAACAATAAAAAAAATTACTACATTTTCGAGTATATTCACCAATCGTTCGTTGTTATTGGTTGGACTTGCGATACAAATGCGTATTAATGTCTCGCCACATTGCGTTTTAATACTTTATTGTGTTGTTTTAACTTTATTATGCCAAAAAACAAAAACAAAAGTAAATAATTGTTTAAACAATAACCCAACCAATCTATATACCCTTTTTAAGTTTTGGGGCCTTCTGTAAAGAGTTTATTCGTGTATGGCCTCATTTTCTTTTAAGTGATTGTAATTTGTAAATTACAAGGCGCGTAGATTGATGTCGATATTAAAATTTTATATTTATATTTGCTATAATTAGTAAGTAGAATTTTTAAAGGTTCAGGATTTTATTTTTATTAAATCCGCACACCTGTCAATAAACTAATCAATATATACTTAGTATATATAAACTGTAAAAATTTTTAAATTAACTATTTTGAATTTTAACTCATCACATCAAATTGCATCTAAATCCATTTTTAACTTGCACTTTCAAAATTATCTACTCATAAGTATTAGCCCATGGATTAGTCATTAGATTCGTCAATAAACAAGTGCATTTAGTCAATAGACTGGTCCATAGACTAGTCCGTTGTCTCTCTATGGACTAAATAATAGAATAGTCTATAAACTAGACTACTCTGTAGAATAGCCTAGTTTGTAGACTAGACCATATACTGGGCTGTATATTAGACCATGAATTAATCTTTCGACGTGACCATAGACTAGTGTAAAGACTAGACTATTCCATAGACTTTTCAGTAGACTAAGATAATAGTCTATTGAAAGGTCATATACTTTACGTGACCATAGATTAGTGAAAGGCTAGACTATTCCATAGATTAGACAATAGACTATTCTATGGACAAGTCTATATATTAGACATCAGAGAAGTGTATTATCTAGTCCATTGAAAAGTCCGTATACATATCCAAAGACTAATTCAAGGGGTAGTCTACAATTGTCTATAGACTAGACAGGAGACTAAAGAATATATATTGATCCAAAGGCAGTTTTATATATTCAGAAAAAATAACTTGAAAATTTAACACGGATCGTCTAATAAATTATACAATTTTGATGTAATCGGTCCGTTATCAAATCCTGTGATCGTGCAAACTCTCTTATATAGGGCTCTAGGCCTCATATGTTTAATAACAACTGCTTCCTCCTCACAATCAGCATCGTAGCATTGTATCGTTATATATCGCTATTACCTTTTCGATTTGCCAATTCTGAATTGGACTAATAATATCTTTACCTTTATTACTCTATTTAAAACTATATATGTTTATATATATTTTCCAACTTACCGGCCAAGGCCTTAAATTCCTCAAGATAATCCAAATTTTTGTGTAACGGCGCCACTTTGGTGCCGTGATTTTCACTTTTAAGAAAAATTTTGATAAATTTTCAAAACACACAGAATTAAGAAAAAGGGCACTATTTTTCACAATAAATTAAATTTTTTAAGATTAATTTTTTTTTTAATTGGAAAAGATTTAATAAATAAAAATCTTTTATATCAAAAGTATTTTATATTTATAATTAACGCAAACAAACATTTAGTAACACCAAACATTTAGGTTAAAAATTCAAAATTTTATAAAATGAAAATGCTCATAGAGTAAGTAGTTGTAGTTGTTTTGTTATAAAATTTAACGGCGATTTCAAATATTTTAAAAGGCAGCAGCTGCTTTTCAAAATAAAACGTTTACAAATATGTATTACAGGGGTGGAATTTCTAGTACAAACACTTTTTAAGTTAGAAAGGTAACAAAGCAGGGAAACAACGTAAATTTATATTTAAAACTTTTCTGGTTTTATTTTATTATTTTTTTTTAATTAATAATATTTTTGACATTTATATTTAATTGTATTAATATTTTTCCAAGCACCACACTTTCTTCAAACATCACACAAAATCCGTTAGTAAAAAACCCCGAAATTCGAAAAAAAACTACGAAAACAACGAACGCTTCACAAACCAAAAATTCATTAGATTTTTGTCACAGTGTGTATGTTTGCTATGAGAACAATATTAAAACTGTTTTTGTTTTAGTACTTTTTTCTGAGTGTTTCCCAAAACGAAAGAAAAAAAAAAAAAAAACACACACACACGAGAAAAAAAAATTAACAAACCGAAATTACAACAAATCAAACAAATAATGCCAACAACAATAAGACGAAAACAATAACGCCACCACCAACATTAGACGCATTGTAGGGGATAATTGTGGTACTAGCCACCACATCGGCAGCAAACATTCCCAAATAAAGCAAAAATATACTCTAATAAAAAGGGAAATATTCTCATGTAAATATTCCTTCATCTAGGATATTCTTGTTTGTATGAGTAAATAACACCATTTGATACCATTTTACATTAATAACTCTTGAGGGAGGTTTTTTGTTGAGAAGAGTTTGAGCTCAAAACAAATTTTTACATACTTACAGCGAAGAAACAACAATAACAGCCAACATGTAATACGAAAAATATTTTTGAGTATTTGAGTGTTTGAGTTGAACATTTACCAACTCTTCTTACATTTACACAAAAGGGGGAGTAGGCTGTAAAAGTTATTGTTTTTTTTTTTTCTTTCTTCTTTTTTTTTTGTTTTGTTCTTCTCCGTCATAATTGAGTTTTATTTTCTTCTGTTAGACTCTTCTTGGTATGGAATTTTAGGAATTCAAAGAATTTTTCGTTTAAAAGAGAGCGGGAATTTATGAATTGTATAGAAGGGGAGGGGCAGAAATAAATAAAAGAATTGGGAATTTAATAAACAGCTGATTTTTTAAATGTTACAAAAGAGAGTGGGAAAGAGAGAGTTACGAAGTTTGAGCTGTATTAGATGAAAGTTTAAAAATGCATGGGTTTGATGTGGAAATATTAAAGTTAGAGGAATATTTAAATTATTGTTAAAGGTTAAGCAAAATTTGTTATCAATAAATTTTGAAATATGTTAAAAATATTTTGGAATTAATTAATGTTTTTAACAGCTAACGGGAGTGTGTTAGAGGCAATGATACATGCGATAGAACTAGTTCATCTGAACTGAACTAGAACTGAACGAAAAGTGAAATAGAACTGAACTAAAAGTGAATTAGAACTAAACTAAAAGTGAACTAGAACTGAACTAGAACTAAACTAGAACTGAACTAGAACTGAACTAAAACTGAACTAAAACTGAACTAGAACTGAACTAGAACTGAACTAGAACTGAACTAGAACTGAAACTAGAACTGAACTAGAACTGAACTAGAACTGAACTAGAACTGAACTAAAACTGAACTAGAACTAAACTAGAACTGAACTAGAACTGAACTAGAACTGAACTAGAACTGAACTAGAACTGAACTAGAACTGAACTAGAACTGAACTAGAACTGAACTAGAACTGAACTAGAACTCAACTAGAACTCAACTAGAACTCAACTAGAACTCAACTAGAACTGAACTAGAACTGAACTAGAACTGAACTAGAACTGAACTAGAACTGAACTAGAACTGAACTAGAACTGAACTAGAACTGAACTAGAACTGAACTAGAACTGAACTAGAACTAGAACTGAACTAGAACTGAACTAGAACTGAACTAGAACTGAACTAGAACTGAACTAGAACTGAACTAGAACTGAACTAGAACTGAACTAGAACTGAACTAGAACTGAACTAGAACTGAACTAGAACTGAACTAGAACTGAACTAGAACTGAACTAGAACTGAACTAGAACTGAACTAGAACTGAACTAGAACTGAACTAGAACTGAACTAGAACTGAACTAGAACTGAACTAGAACTGAACTAGAACTGAACTAGAACTGAACTAGAACTGAACTAGAACTGAACTAGAACTGAACTAGAACTGAACTAGAACTGAACTAGAACTGAACTAGAACTGAACTAGAACTGAACTAGAACTGAACTAGAACTGAACTAGAACTGAACTAGAACTGAACTAGAACTGAACTAGAACTGAACTAGAACTGAACTAGAACTGAACTAGAACTGAACTAGAACTGAACTAGAACTGAACTAGAACTGAACTAGAACTGAACTAGAACTGAACTAGAACTGAACTAGAACTGAACTAGAACTGAACTAGAACTGAACTAGAACTGAACTAGAACTGAACTAGAACTGAACTAGAACTGAACTAGAACTGAACTAGAACTGAACTAGAACTGAACTAGAACTGAACTAGAACTGAACTAGAACTGAACTAGAACTGAACTAGAACTGAACTAGAACTGAACTAGAACTGAACTAAAACTGAACTAGAACTGAACTAGAACTGAACTAGAACTGAACTAGAACTGAACTAGAACTGAACTAGAACTGAACTAGAACTGAACTAGAACTGAACTAAAACTGAACTAAAACTGAACTAGAACTGAACTTAATTGGAATTGAACTAGATCTTATTAAGTCCATGAATTCGTAATGTTAGATCTGATTTTGCTAATTTTACTAGAGTTCATATAGTTTATAGACGTCATTTCTTTCTAAAAAGTCTCTCTTCAAATTTCAGATTACCACCCGAACATGTATTGAATGTAATCTGCCTGAGGCATCGGGACCCCGTACCCGACAAGCGGTTTCTTTCACTAGCAACTAGACTAGATTTGGTTCAGTTCTTTCCGAGTGTTAAATGATCTTGAAGGAAACTGTTTTCCCAATATTTAGATTACAAAATGATCATGTATTAAACACAATTTATTTGACATATCAGATCCAGATTATCTGAAAGGATTCTCGAAATACTTTTTTCACAGATTGAATCATATCTGATAAGTTGATAAAGTTTTTGATAATCTCTATATGTCTGATCAGATGTGTGGCCTCTGCTTGAGTATTTATCGTAACCGAGGAGATTTTAGCACCAGGGGCCAAGAAAATTTAATCATCTGTCTGGAATTTTAATATAAAAAATCAAAACTCCAGGAAATCTTTCATAGAATTCCCATTTCCAGACATTTTTCTATGTATTCACTTGCTTCAGAATAGTTTTCTGTGAGATTTGGGGATTCTGTTTCAATGAATACATTCCTTTATCTAAACCTAACCAGTTAACAATTTTATCTTTGTTGTATGTATTACAGCGTCAATTTTTATTGTAATTCAAGGTGGTGGTTTATGGTTAATAGTTTTGTTGTTTTTTTTTTGTGTCTTTTCCACACATTTCCTTTCACGTACAATATTTGCAGATGTTATTTTTATGAAATAACTGAAATTCTTTAGTTATTGTATTTCAACTTCTAATTAGAAATCTAATAGATTTCATCATCATTATCATTATAGAGAAGTTTCATTGTCAGTGTTAGACCGAAGTAAAAATATGATTACAAAGAGTAGAGGAGAAAAACTAAATGATCCTCCTCTTCTTTTACATGTATGTTCTTACATACATAGGAGTATTGAGAGTATTTATTAGATTCTTAATGGTTTATTGAGTACTTTTTTGTTGTTGTTTCTTTCTTTTACTTTGTTTCATTAATATTTATGCTAAAGGTAAAAATAACAAAAAGTTTATAGAATTTATGGCATTTTTTTTTTGTTGTTTCAAGGGAGTATTTATTCTATGTTTCTATGTGAGAGTATTTGTAAAGAGAATATATTCCAACAGTTTTGCAAGGAGTCAGAGGTCTTATTATATATATTTTTGGATCATTTGAAGTGCACAGGAGGAAGATCATTAGCCACTGAGGTGGTTCTAAGTAATGAGTAAAGTAAGTCACATGTCACTTTAGTGTGCCTAAGTAATCTAGAGAGTAAACAGTTTAAAACTTTTTCCCCTGTACTGTGTCTTAGTAAGATGTAATGGAAACCACCCGGGGTAATCCCTTACCTAGTCTATGGTATATTTATAATCAAAGCAAATTGAGATTGTAGAAAGATTCTATTGATCCTCAATCAAATCACTACATCGGGACTGTGTCTTAGTAAGATGTAATGGAAACCACCCGGGGTAATCCCTTACCTAGTCTATGGTCTATTTATAATCAAAGCAAATTGAGATTGTAGAAAGATTCTATTGATCCTCAATCAAATCACTACATCGGGACAGTCACCCAAAACTACCGGGTAATATTTCATTAGTTTATTTGTATAGGTCATTGTAGGTACACAAATAGTATGTCATACATTTTCTTATAGTAATTTTAAATTTGTAATACTGAATAGAAAAAAAGAAAGAAAAGGTACCAAACTGATTTATTAAAACAGCCCATTATATACTGTACTCGGTACTAAAAAAAAAACTACAATTCTTTTTATTTGTTTTTCTTGCACATAATTTAAAATTTGCAAAATGTGAAAGGCTGGCTGCTTGGCAGTCCGGGCGGCAAGAAGAAGAAAGAGTGAGAGAAAAATA